GAAGATGAGAGTTTGGAGTTGGAGTTCATTTAAGATCTTTGTGATCATGTGATGAGATGTATGTTTGGTATATGGTAAGGACATGAATTTCAAGGGTCAGAGGGTAGAATGTTATGAATTGAGTTGTGTTCCCTCAAAAAATGTGTGTTTCCTCCCAAGTATTTAGTGCAAAACAAGAAAGAGATGAATCACAGCCTAATGTCCACTCTCCTGGTCTTGCAATGATAGCACAAATCATGCATAAGTAAAAAAATAAAATCAAGGCTTTAATGTATGTCAGTATAAAGGTTCCATTTCAAAGGAGTGTCATAAACAGGCTCTTTAACTGAAGTGATCACCTTTAAAAAAGTACATGCTTCATCATTTTTATCTGTTTCAGTACCATATATTACTACTTCAGAATGATATGCTTTTCATATTGCACACTGTATGCCGCTAACCAGTCTTTTACTTTCAGCAGAAAAATATTTGCATTGTCTATTAAATTTTGTTTATTAATTTTGTATTGTCTATTAAAATACTTGATATCGCCAAAAAAAAATGTGTGTTTGAATTCCTAACCTCTGTGCTGGCATAACGGTTATGCACTGGGCTGTTGCTCACAAGATCAGAAGTTCAAAATTACCAGCTGCTCCTAGGAAGAAAGATGAGGCTTTCTACTCCTGGAACGAGTTACAGTCTTAGACTCCTACAGCGGCCGCGCTGTCCTGCCCTGTCCTGAGCCAGAATGGACTGGAGGGTAGTGAGGCTGAGCGTCTAGGGTAAGGAGCCCCAGGGGTATGGTGATGGGCTCCTAATACCAAGGTTGGAAGTTCAAACCCGCTAGCTGCTCCTCGGGAAACAGATGAGGCCCTCGGCTCCAGTAAAGACTTTTAAGAACTCTAAGGACCAGTTATACTCGGTCCCATTGAATTGCTGTGTTAGGTCGGGTGCTCTAGAGATGCACAAGCAGTGACGCTTGTATCTGTTGCCTATAGAAAGAGATTGATATCAAGACCTGGCTGACACAGCTGTAGAAATAGGTTAAGTCCAGTCCGGTTCCAGTCAGGTTTCTCCGGATTCGTGGAAACTGATGAACAGCAAGCAGGATGATGCAGCAGGCGGGCAGGCAGGTGGACTCAGAGGTCTGAAGTCAGCAGAATGAAGCCAGCTCCCGGGTCAAGGAACCACAGGCCAGATCTAACTCCAGCAGAGGGCCAGGGTCCAACGAGGATGCCACGCGGCATACTCTCCTTCTCTTACAAAAAGACATCTGATACCAAGGAGGTGTCAATGCAATAGGTTGGGCTCTAGTTGACTTACAACCCCTAACCATACCATCACAGTCACTTAGGGGCAGAATCTTTTAAGATAAAAAAGCCACAGCTAACGGAGAAAGTAAATACCACTAAATACCCAAGACATTTCCCAAGGAAGAAATCCAGGCTTAACTTAGGCCAAAAATAACTCTAAGATCCCCCAAATCGGGCACTGGCAGCCATGCAGAGCACATTGCCAAGAAAAGCTATCTTCGGCTGCAAAGGGATGCCAGTCAGTCAGAGTGAGAGTGAGTTCCAGCACATGAAGTCCCACCAAAGCCCAACAGTCTGCTTGGCTCCAGCTTGCTGGAGAATCCTAGTAGGCAGTTTCTCATTCAACGCTGCAGTTCGCAGACAGTGGTCTCCAAGGTCAGAGGCCCAACATTACTGTCTAAAGATCAGCTGTTAGCTTGAAGCCACAATGGGTGACAAGGTCCTACACAGTATCAGCTAACGGAAGTGACTAACTTCTGTTGGTCTCAGCAGCTAAATGTTAGGGACATCTGAGCTCTACGATTCACACATCCCGTAAGGATAAGAGAGATTTTTTGGTTCTCCAAGTGAGCCTTTGTGGGTTCGTGGAACATGGGGTGCCTGGGTGGGGAACGCTGGAGTGGAGAGGCTGGATGGTTGAGCTCAGCCAGAGGGGAGCAGAGGAGGCATGGTGGTCTGCCTCCAGCAAATCCCCCTTCTGCTCAGACACACCACGCATGTGATGTCGCCCGGAGCCCGGACTGACCCAGCGGCAACTGGTGATGAAGGGAGCTTTTCACACTAAATGCAACTTTCTGACATATGTTTCTACACACAAAGAACAGCTGCTGGCATTATATATATATATATAATAATTGTTGGCCTTTTAAAAGCAAAACATTTTCTTTGTAAAAATTGCCAAAAGTAAAGAGAAAAAAAAGGAGCTGAAAGTGAAAGTCCTCTTGCCTCTGCACCCCTCCCTTGACCAGCCCCGCCCCCCCACACACACACACAAACACACAAACACACACCCAGGACACCACTGCTCACAGTTAGGTGGGTCCTCCCAGACTTCCTTGCAAACGTGGTACTCTTTTGTTTGTTTGTTTGTTTTTAACATCATTTTATTGGGGGTTCTTACAGCTCTTCTGACAATCCACACAGCAGTTGTATCGAGCATATTTGTACCTGCGGTAGTTACATAATCTGGTGCCAACTTGAGACGATTAAGAGTGAATCCGATTGAGTTTAGCCTGGCAATCAGATCGCAGCTTGATGACCTCATTTAGAGATGCTTCGGAGATAAACAGCTCGCTGGAGGCAGGACACATACTCTCTCTGGTTTGTCTTCCTGTGAGATATTCCTGCTGACAAGCCAAATGAAGCTAGGCTGATGGCAGCCGGAGCCTGGGAGCTGGAGAAACCCTGTGGAGACCCCTGCCAGCGCTGAGATGCTTCTCCCACCACTGGATCCACAAGACTTCCCACTCACGGGCCTGTGAGCTTCCTGCATTTGGCATCATTGCATGTGGTGCGTGAGTCTGCAGAGGAATTTACAGACTGGTATCGGAGATTGTGGGAAACAGAAGGATTTCTCCCAAGTGGTCTCCCCCAAATACATGCCAAACTTAGCTGCTTGCGAATGACTGACTACACACTTGGAGGTCATCAGAAGTAGATCAGGGTTATTCTCCCTAAGGGTTATCAGTCATCTAGAGCAAGCAGTCACCATTGTTTATCCCACAAGTAGGGCCCACTCCCTTCTGATAAGCATAGTAGTTGTCTATTTCCTTGTAGTTTCCTGTTTAAAAAGAAAAAAATATATCAAAGTGTATTAGGATATAGATAGCCACCATTTTTCATATCCACTCCAATCCACTCCAGTGAGTCTGGTGTTCTAGTTGTAACTTCTCTGTTAAGGTTTTTTTTTTACTTTTAAACTATGAAGTACTTATAGACAACTTAAATTTCTGACTAATCTCTAAGGTAGAATAAAATGTATTTCATATGCTAGCGTCATCGAGGATTAATAAGATTACACTTATAAAGTGTTCAGTTCACCACATCCTCATCCAATACGTAACTGAAAGTTTTCTCCTTAAGTGGTCTTTTGCTGGGGTCCCACCCCTCAAGTCTGACCTGCAATCACTTGTATTACAAAGCTGGAGGCATTACTGACGCTGTGCTATTACTTTCAGTTTCCTGTAGAAAATGTCCTAAGATCTCTTTTGTTGGCCTTGCTGCCTTCTAGTCAATGCTGACTTGCAGTGACACCCTGTACTCTTTATGGGAGTAGAAAACCCAGAAGCTGCTGGTGGTTTTGAACTGCCGACCATGTGGATCGCAGTCCACCAAGTAACCACTCTACACCAGGTGCCATGAAGTTGATCCAACTCTGACTCCATGTAACAGAATGAAACACTGCCTGGTCCTTGGTGGTCCTCAAAACCCTTGACTGCTTAAGGCCATTGTTTACACCATCTTGCTCAGCGTCTTCCTCTTTCACTGGTCCTCTGCTGGACCATGCATGATGTCCTCCAGGGACTGGGATTTCATGACAGCATGGCCAGAGGACATGATAAGAGAAGTCTCACCAATTCTTCTTCTAAGGAGCGTTCTGCCTGTACTTCTTCCAAGACAGATTTGTTTGTTCTTGTGGAAGTTCCTGGTATAGTCAATAGGCTCGGTCAACACCATCATTCAAATACATCCATTCTTCCTTGGGCTTCCTGATTCATGCCCGGCTTTCGCATGTGCATGAAAAGACTGAACATGCCAGGGCTTGGATCCAGCACACCTTAGTCTTCAAAGTGACAGCTTTGCTATGGGAACACTTTAAAAAGATCTTTTGCAGCAGACTTGCCCGATGCAATAACATCATTTGCTTTCTCGCCAGCTGCTTCCATGAACACTGATGGTGAATCCAAGTACTGTACATGAACAGCTTTGACCACGATGCTGTTTATTGGTCCAGTTGTGAGACTTTTATGTGGACGTGTAATGTACACTGACCTTCCTCACGCGTGCTTTATTTTTTTGTTTGTGTGTGTTTTTTTTTTCTTTTTTAACATTTTATTAGGGGCTCATACAACTGTTATCCCAATCCATACACACATCAATTGTGTAAAGCGCATTTGTACATCGTGTCTCAAAACATTTTCTCTCCATTTAAACCCCCGACATTAGGTCCTCATTTTTCCCCTCCCTCCCCGCTCCCCCATCCCGCATGAGCCCTTGATAGTTTATAAATGGGTATTTTGTCATATCTTGCCCTGTCCGACGTCTCCCTTCATCCACTTTTCGGTTGTCTGTCCCCCAGGGAGGAGGTCACACACAGTTCCATGTAATCGGTTCCCTCTTTCCTACCCATTCTTCCTTTGCCCTCCCTGTTTTGCCACTCACATCACTGGTCTTGTAGGGCTCATCCTCCCTGGATTCCCTGTATTTTCAGTTCTTATCTGTACCAGTGTACCTCCTCTGGTCTAGCCAGTCTTGCAAGATAGAATTCGAGTCATGGTAGTGGGAGCGGGGAGGAAACCTTTAGGAACTAGAGGAAAGTTGTATTTCTCATCATTGTTACATCGCACCCTGACTGGCTCATCTCCTCCTCTCACGCGTGCTTTAAAGCTCTTTATTTTCATTATGTCAGGTGGTCTTATCTGAATATTATAACTGGGTAAGAAATCCTCTTCAAGTCCAAATCCGAATGCTATGTTCTTCCTTATATAGCCCCGCTTCTCGGATTATCTGCACGGCATACAGACTGATGAAGTGTGGGGAAAGATTACCATCTTGGGCAACCATTCAACCCAACCCTTTCATTTTCACAGGTAAGCACACAGGCCCAGAGAAACTGCTGACGTGGTATGCACACGCAGAGAGAGCTGGTGATTGAGAGGGCAGATTCTCACGCTCCCTATGCTGGGTTCCCTCCAACACTGGCATCCATATGATCATTCCTTTAAAGAGAGAAGAAAAAAGGGAGGAGGACTGTATAGACATGGTAGAAGGGAGTGGAGTACTCTGCTCTGTGAGCATTCTGGCACTTTGGGGGGGGGGGGAGTTGTTAGCAGCCAGGACTCCACTCCGTCACTCCCCATATCTGGCTTACGACTAAGTGTTTAAGAGCAAAGGCACTAGCGGAGGGTGGGGAGAGAAAGGGGGAATCAAGCACAAGGATGGATCAAGAACCCCCTCCCAGGGAGACGAATAAAGGAAAAGTGGGTGAGGGCCAGCGGAGGCCGATGTAAAATAATCATCTGTAACTTATCAAGGGTTCCTGAGGGAGGCGGGGCAGGGGAGGGACTGGGAAGAAAAGGGGAGCTGATATCAGGGGCTCACGTGGGAAGAGAATGCTTTGAAAACGATGATGGCGGCATATGTGCCAATGTGTTTGACAAGCTGGATGAATGTATGGATTGTGATAAGAGATGTAAGAGCCCCCAATAAAAGTGTGGGTTTTTTTCAGCAAAAAAACGAAAACAAAGGCACTCCTGACAGAGCCCTGGTTTAATCCTAAACCTTAAAATTAGTCCAAATGCCATGTGAGGACCCCACATTCACCTCTGACCATCAAGGTCAAGGAGGGCCACACACAAAGGGTAAGGGTAGACATAGAAGCTCCCCCTCCACCCAAATATGCAGAGAGAGCCATCGCCTTTGCCCCAAGGTTGGCCTGGTGCATCCACCAAAGCCCCTCCTGATTGTCTTCCTCGTTAAGCCTTTGACAATGGCTTTGCCGAATCTGCTGTTCATAAGAACCAAACCACTCCCCACTCTGCATAAAAAGAACAAATCGAGGGAGGGGGGAAATGAGCAGCCGATTAAGGGCCAAAGTGGAAAGCAAATGTTTTGAGAATGATGAGGGCAACAAATGTACATATGTGCTTGCCACAATGGGTGGATGCATGGACTGTGATAAGAATTGTACGAGCCCCCAATAAAATAATTTTTAAAAAAGAACAAATCATGTGTGGCTTCAGTAGGGCATAGCCTTGCCGTGTGTGCGTCGCTTTCCTCTTTGACACACACGCCGAAGAAAGTGTCGTTGTCTCCCGTGATAATCTCGGGAGCATTTTCCCCAGGATAGGCCCCACCCAAGCCCTGGCCTTCCTCCCGCCTCACAGCTCCCTGCCCGTCCGCCGCTGGGTAAGGGGTTACGAGGAGGGGGAGGCCTTCCTCAAGGCCCGGCCGGCTGCCGGCTCCCTGCATTTGCAAAGTGGGCCCGAGGGCGCTGGGGGTGCGAGGGCGGCTGGGTGGGGCTGGGGATTAGGGAGGCTAGGGTGCGGCCCAGGGCTCGTGGCGAAGCATTCTAGTGAGTCACCGTCGGTCGGATTTAGCTTTCCGACTCGGAAAACTGGAGAAAGATCGGGGCCTTGGCAGAAAGAGCGAGAAGAAACTCGATGCTGATGGGGGGGGG